CGCGTGAGGCCTTCGTGCTACAGTTCGGAGTCAATTTGTGTCACGGTTCTTAATCTGAACCAAAGAGTCCAAATCCGACAAATCGTTTTGAGAAAACAGATTTTTAGAAAAGAAGTGCCAAACATGGACTGCTTTGCCAGATACAGAGTCGCCACCTAAATATTTTTTAAGGGGGAATTTAGGAAACCCTGACTCGGTGCCAAAGGCCACGTGTCCGTCATCACCAAAGTTGCCTCGGCTCGGGAGCTAGGGTACGATTGGGGAAGGTCAGCTATGAGCACCCCCTCTCGCCCGATTCGAAGATCGGCCTCTACTAACCGTGATATCCGTTTTTGAAAACGTTTTGTATTCTTATTCCGGTTATTAGCCTAGAATTACTATGTTATGCGCACAGCAAACAAGTATAGACCAAATTGCCTAAATTGGAACAAAACATTTCATGCTTGTTTTGAAAATGGTTAGCTACTCGCAAATAGGCTGAAATGTATGTTTTGCCACCCTTAAGTGGGCTTTAGAAAAGATGGTTTTGCTACTATCTAGTGGGCTTAAAACTCCCAGTTTTAATGCATTATTCCAATTAACGCAATTCAACCTCCATCAACAGGCATTCAAGCAGTTATATCACATAAGCAGCTAGCCTCATGGTAATCATGATGTTATGGCAACACTCACACACATACGGTATGCTAAAGCATAAATGCTTACCGAGTACTCCGATCCAAAACAAAAACTAGTTAGTAATCATATGCATGATCCTAGTTCATGTTAAGATGGCTAATGCAACACATGCAAAATGCAACTAAGATAGGCTCGGCTAATCTACAGTGACACGGGAAATGCTACAACTAACATGTATTCAATTTGGAATTGAAATACAAATGCAGTTAGAATGATGCACCGAGCCCGATGCATGCAAGACAAATGCATGAATGCACGTATGCATAGCATAAGGTATGCTAATTTAAATATGCCCTAGTCTACCATCATAAGCGGGTAAATAAAAGGGAAGAAAGACGTGGGGTTGGAAGACATACACATACTCACGCACACTTATTACACAATTGCCCTCGCTTGGAGGGTTCAAATAAATATTACAGTTCGAATAAATAATACTAAATTAATTATTACAGAATTTCTAATTAATTAACAAATTAAACACAGGATTAAAGTGGCCACATCCCTGCCTTGGGATGCGTGGATGATGTAAGTTTGACTCGTCTCGCCCGGAAATTTGCTGCCATAGCACTGTTGCCTCTGTTGACACTGCCCTGCCCCTTTGAAATTTATGAAAGTCTCCGGAACTGTTCTGAACTTCATTCTGAGTGCAGTGGAGTTCCACCTGCCAAATCAAATGGCCAACGCCCATGGGAATGAGGTTATCGGCTAAAGATTTTTCTCTTGGCCAAAATTCTTTGCCGGTCGGCACTCATAACTGCCGGCCGACCAAATCTTCCTGTTGAAGCCTGCAGTTGACAGCAGCAGAGGGCAAGCAGTGTATGGCATGGAATTTTGGAGTAAATGTGAGCATGGGCACACTCCCTATCATGCAAGGGACTCAAGGGAGCATGACCCTCGACCCTCGGGCCCTCAATTGTGCATTTTTGATGCATGATGGCCTAAGAGGCCAAGTTAGCAACTTTGATGTAAATGCATGCAAAAAAAAAAAAATATGAATGCCAACACCCTATCATGTTGAGGTCAAGGGGATTGACGACCGAGGGTTGAGACGTGTTACATCACTTGGAGTATGAACACTTCTCAATCCTCTTACTTGGCTTGACACCCCAAACCAAGCCAAATGTAATGCATAGATGCAATATACAATGCAAAGTGATGCAACTCATGCAGGATAACATGAACATGCTAAGCTAACGCAACATGACACTATCTAATCCTGCATGCTAGACTAATGCAATATGGACACATCAAGCATACAACAAGACTATGTAATGCCATTAACTAAACAACATGCAAACATGCGAAAATGATACAATGTAAGCATGCAACCAATGCAATACAACATGCAAGCATGCAAAATATGCAAAGACGGACTTATACTGAAATGAGAGGACCTCAGCCCACCCCCAAAACAGTGGCCTAAGAGGATACACAAGAGCACAAATGATACATGCAAGCATTCACACATCAAGGTCCATCACCTAAGCATAAAAGGGGATAACTCTAAGCATACTTAAAGGCGATATATATGGGCATTAAACCAACATGCTAAGCTCTGAAAATGAATAGAGAATGATGCCAAATCAAACAAAACATGCAAGCGAGACATGCAACAATGACCAATACTTGAAGCCCATAAAGGGGGTCAAACCAAAGCTATGTCAACCAAACCTTAAAAGACCAAAATGACCTAAAACAGTCCCAAGGGACCCCAAAACAAGACTAAAGCATACATAGATGATGGTCAAAACACGCCAAGGAATGAGTCCAAAACATGGGCATTCAAGGCCAAAAATGGGAGCATTGCTCAACACCTCCCCCATGCAAACACGACATGAATTTTTTAATTCAAAACGGAGTTTTAGCATGCAAAAAGGGCCCTCAAAACCCACTGATATGGCAGCCTAATGTCTAAACACATAGGCATGCACAATGACCATTTTCCAAGGCGCAAAAGAACAACCTTTCAAGGCAAGAAAGTAATGATGAATGTGGGCATAAAATCATGGATTAGGGACTAAAATGGCATATGAAATGACTCCAAATCATTGAAACAACCCAACTAAAGCATGCTAGTGACTCACACACCCAAGACTCACAAGCCAAAATACAAAGGGGCTATACCAAACATGGCAAATACGACCAAACCAGCACCCAACAAACCTCAATCATGATAAATCATGACCAAAAGCTTCACAAAGCTAGGCGAGAACATGCAAGCACGATGGTCTAATGGCTAGATGCATTTCTAGGCAAAATGAGGGAGTACAAAGCAAGTGTATTAAGCATGTAAGGGACCACAAATCCGACCAAAAATAGAGGTAAGATATGCCCAAATAACACCCAAAAACCTCTGAAATAGGGCCAAATACAACCAAGCATACATGCTACCCTTATGAGCCAAAACATGAGCAAAATGAGAGACCAAGGGAGAGGGGTGTCCCTCCCCTTTACAAGACCGCAAAACCCCTTCTTCACCACTGAAAATCCACTAGATTTCAGTGGTGAGAAGGCCAAGACTCAAGAGTAACCAAAGCTTGAGAAAGAAAGCACCAAAAGGGCCAAACAAGGCCTAAGAGGGGGAGGTCGACCCCGAACCACAAAAGGACCTTAATGAAAGATCTCAAGCATGAAAATACAAGAATTTTTTATGTTATACACAAAGCTTAAATCAGCATGCAAGCCAGGTCAAAAACTAATGCAAGCTTGGGGAAAATAAAGCAAAAGTCTTACCCTTGAAGAACACTTCAAGAACAGTTGGTCCAACCACTCTCTTCTGACCAAAATCAGTCCAAAACTTTAAAAAAAAAAACCCTCAAAGCCCCTCAAGGTCGAAGCAAGGTGTAATGGTGTGTGTCTTAGTGCAAAACTAAGGTCAAAACACACTTTCTAGGCCTCCAAACACACACTAAGGATGAGAGAGAGGGAAATATATAGAGAGAGAGTATATGACAGATGTATATATGTATAATCTCTGGTTTTTTGTTCAAAATCTCTAACCCTCTACAATGGAAGAAGAGAGGTGCTTATATAGGCAAAAGAAATGGTTCTAAGCTTCTCAAAGAATCTAAGTAAAAGGGGGCAAAGGGGGCAAGGAGGTCAAGGCTTCTTGAGGAAGCTAAGACAGTTGGCCAACCTTCTTGAGGAAGCTTTGACAAAGGGTCAAGCTTCCTCAGGAAGCTTTGACCAAAAGGGGGTGAAAGGGGCAAAACAGCCACATGTTAGCCCTGGGGTAGGTTTGGTGTATTCCAGCTGGCACAACTGGCATGCACCATGCCTGAAGAAGGCAAAAAGGTGTTACCAGCCAAAAATAGGAGGTCGCCGGCCAAACAGATAGCCGTCCGGCCATATGGAGTGCCGACCGGCCATTGGTACTAAGAAACCATGGCCGGTGTCAGCAATTAATGGCCGGTGATGCAAAGGGAAAGCCGATAGGGTGTTGGGTTGGTCAACAAGCCATTCCTTACCCCTCAAAGCAAAAACACATGTATTTGGTGTGAAACCAAACGTAAGACAAACAAGTTGAGAGATCCCGAGGCAAGGCTCGCAACCAAGGCCTCCGGGAACTCAAAACGAACACGAACATGGATGATCACCGAGTGTCCCCACCGGTGACGTCCAAGTCTTGAGGACGGTCAAAAATGGGGTGTCTACACCTTATACTGTGGAAGAAATAGAAGATACTGGCAATGGATTGGGTCCTTATGAGATTGTGAATGCCAATGAGCTTTTACAAAATTCTCCATTGAATGATGATGGTGTGGAATCTGATATGACCTTTGTTAAATAAGAAGGAAGATGTTGTGGTCCCAGTGGTCTCTGTGTCAGAGATTTCTTGGGATATTAGTGTTGAGAATCCTCAAGTTCACGTGATTGAAGATACAAGCTTGTCAAATGCAGTCTTGGAGTCTCATACATCTATTCCAAATATTGTAACTGAAACCCAAGAAATCACCCAACAAAGGAGCCAGCTTTTGGAGACGGAGTACAGGAATAAGATTCTTGATGACCTATGTGCTTATTTTTCATTTTGATTAATTAGGTACTGATGGAAATGTGTTTTTTTTTTTTCCAAACATTCATTGTTGGTTAATACATTCGGTTGTATTCACGTGTAAAAGGGCACGAGAATGTAGCAACACAATCCTTTCTGAACTTAATATTTTTGTTTGACTTTTGGTTATGATATCAAAGCATTTTGACATCAATTGATATTTGGTGCCAGATTAAAGCATTCTTGAATCAGTGGTTGACGGAGTTGGCAAATAACGAAACTCTATCCTTGCAACATCAAGTCTAGGCAGTTGCTCCTTTAGTGTTGCAGCAGTACTCTTTTGATACAATTCAGAAGATGTTGTCTGATGTTTCTTTGGCCATCTCCTCATTGACAAATAGAAAAACCAGGGATCAGATCATGATTCTCAACTCAAAAAGGTGCAGCATTCTTGTTTTTCAACAAGCTTTATACCTTGTCCATTTCCTTCACCGTCAAATTTCTTCTCCCCCACTTATTGTTTACGACACCAATCTGTATTTAGAATTCACAAATGACAATTATATTATATTTACATGACTTTTCTTTTGGTATTTGATTGATGCATATTTTGTGCGATCCCAATAAGTCTTTGCATTTTTGGTTGTTGTTAGGAATCAACTGTCTATTGTAATGACCAATTCAGAAGTTTTGTCCTGATCTTGATGGTTTTTGCCCAGTAACTACAGTTTGCTTGATTATCCCTCTCCCTCTAGTCGTGCACATTACTAGTATTTTGGTTTCATGATGCCATGCTTATTATTCCTAATGAGTTGTGACAATATCAAGTATTGACTGTAGTGTGCATCTAATTTTCAGATTTCTCGATAGACTAGTGAGTACACTAGAGGAAAAGAAACACCACCAAGTGAAGTTAAAGGAGGGGTTGAAGGACTTGTCTGCCAAATGGATGGAGCTGCAGAATTCATTGACATCATTGTGGCCAAAGCAGGTGAGTTCATTCCTTTGTTGCTTAATTTAAGACACAGTGCTTTTGTAAGTATGTTGCACGTCCTTTTCAAAGTTAGCTTTGTGTAATTTCTTCTTGTTTTTTCCTCGACTTATAAATGTTGACTTGTATCTGAATCTGCTTAAAATGGTTAAGGTGGCAGACCTTCAGTTCTTCTACTCCTAGTTATTCACTGAATTCTCTTTTAGCTCCATTGTCATATATGTTCATTTATTTATTAGAATCATAGATTTAAGGACAGATTTGATCAAGCTTGTATGTATTATCCAATGAAATATTTTAGTCTTCATATGTTAATCTTCTAATTATTAACCTCAATGTTTATGCATGCAGCCTCTTGTATCAGGTGCCACTATAGGATTGGAAGGGCAGGTAAAAAAAAGTATGAGCAATTTTCTCACTAATTCCTATATGAACATGTGGAAAACTCTTTATATGGATTTGGGACTATAGAATGTAATTAACTCTTTTTTATATTGTTCAAATTCTTACTGCAACTGCATCCTCAAATCATTTGTGTAGCTTACAGTTTACAATTACAGTGGAGGTCCATGTTATCGGTGCCTATTTCCAACTCCACCTCCTACGACAGCATGTCAAATATGCTCTGATAGTGGTGTTTTGGGTATCGGTAAGCCATTAATATGTTGTGTCTTAGTCCATTCAATTAGAAATATTGCCTACAATCTTGAATTTAAAGAGAGAAAAATCTGAGTTTGCCTGGGAGTTGTCCTTTAGTTGTCTGTCCTTGTTTGCATTTCTCGAGTCCCTTGCATATTTCTAGTTTATCTCGTTACTAGAATTTTGATATATTAGCAAGAAGAATGGGTATTCACAAAAGGGGAATGTAAGTGTGATGGACCTGATGGTCAATAACACCCAACTCTACATTTGAAGGCTTTGTCCCAATTGCATAAGTTTTGAAAGGTGAAGTTTAAAGTTTTTTGTTATTGTATTCCTGGCCATATTTCTAATTTATCTCATTGTGAAATTTTTTGTATATTATAAATGGGTATCACAAAAGGGAATGTAAGTAAGAGTGATGGTCAAGAACTCTAAGTCGACTCGATTTTTTGGATGATGTAATTGGTTAGGCGAGTTTTGTTTCCTACTATTGGTTGTTTTGTTTTAGTTGCATCATCTTGATGCTTTCTCAATAAAATTTATTATTTATCAAAAAAAAGAACTCTAATTCGACTCTACTTTCAAAGCCATAATCTCAATTGCTTTAAGTTTTGAAAAATGAAGTCATAATTTTTTTTTATATTTTTTTTGGTTTCATTCCATAATCATGGATGTAATCACTTTAATATATTACCAATGTTGACTACCACAACCTAGATGAGCCAAAATTTATGACAGCTCACTGAAAGGTGAAGGCATAGCAAAGGATTGTGGGGTTCCTTTAGAGATTGGGACAAGATCTCAGAAAACCTCAGAGCACAGTGAATAACTGAGAAGATGATTTACAGATTCTCAGTGCCTTGCAGGATTTGCTGACAACATTGCATATTGTGGTCGTGTCATGATTTGTGTTCTTTTTCCTCAGCTATCAGTTTTTTAGTTGCCTAACACGGTACTTTGTCTTTATGTGGTGGACCTTGAACTTGCTATGGGAAGGCATAGGATGACACTAAGAAAGATGCTTTTATGTGCAAGCTATTGTGTACATATTTGGAGTCTCCAGTCCAGTCCTTATTTCCATGCAAATTCACTTGGCTTGCAAGTGATGTATTTCTTTTATTTATTTGCTCTACTTTTATATAATTTTACAGTTCCTGGTATTATTAGCTGCCACCAAGCCCTTGAAGCTATAAAGATTGCAAGTGATGTCGGTGATCCACTCTCAAGAAGGATGCTTCTTTTTGATGCGTTGACTGCATAGATTCATATCGTATGTTTTAAAAATTTTCAATTTTCTATTAATAAATTCTCTACTCTATATTTATTTTTTATTTTTCTTCCAGCATAAACATCCTCTATATTTGTTGAACTTAGTAGACATGCCCAGTCAATTCCCCTTTTTTTTCAATTAGCCTTGTACTATGATTTTGCTTAGGTCAAGATCAGAGGGTGGTCATCACAATGTGAAGTTTGTGGAGAAAATGCGACATTCACCGAAAAGCAATTTCAAGAGTTTGACTATGAGAAATTCACACAATCTCCCCTGTCCATGGTATGTTTATGTTCTTTTATTTCCATTTTAGGCTGCACATTGTGTTTTGATTAGCTTGCTTGAGATTTATTTGGTCTTAAAAAATAAAATTTTTTATGTTTTCCTCTGCCACAACTTGTTTTGTAAATAGATCCGAAGATTTTTGTCTGTGAACTATTGAACTAGCTTAAGATAAAATTCATCTCTTGTGTGTTACCCAAGCTGTTATACACTCTAAATATCAAAATGGAATTTACAATTTACAAGCCCAAGTCTCTCTCAATCTCTCTCTGAAGTGCTTGTTTTTATAAACCCAGGGATCCGTATTTCATTGTGGAGTTCTATATTGATTCTCTTTCCTTGTTTTAACTTTTGATACTCACTAGTGTAGAATTTATTCAAGACTGAAGCCTAGAGAAACAACCAAATCTCATGAGAACGTGGACATAACAAATCACATATTGCAACATAATGCACGTACCGTATTGTTCTATGTGTGAGATACTAAGCATATTTTATGACCTGAATGCATTTATTAGCATTTGTTGTAATACTAATGCCATCAAACTTGCTAGCTGGTTTATTGTCTATTTGGTTTTATAGATCAGTCTGTTGGGTGCATAAATTTCCTCTTATCTTCCTCACCCTCGTGTGACCATCTTCCGATTGATTGCAGACTCCATTGAAGCTAGACCGGCTTCCTACAAAAGCTAGAATAAGCGGCAAGGATTACAAGGAGAAAGTTGTTAACAATCTCAAGATTTTAATTGTGCATTACTCGGGTATTTTATTGTAAGGATGGATATATATATATTTTTCTTTTCTTTCCTCACTAGCAGATGGTGGGGGAAGGAGGTCAATGTTTCTGATCATGTTTACTGGTACCTTTATTATAGAAGCATTTTGTTGACTTTCTCATGACTAATTTAATGATTTGAGTGTAATAAATTTGCCACTAATGGTTCTGAATGAAATGATTCGACTTTGTTTCATATTTCAGTGCACCAGTCACATTCTAAAGCAGTGAAAAGAGCCATCAGTGAACATTGTGGTGTATGGACAATCTCAATGCTTAGTTACTTTTATTGTTTCCAGTGCATTGGTATAAGGTTAGCTTGGTAAACATTGTGGTGTACTTGAATTGAGTGTTTTTATATAACACACTCTCCTAGTGTAAACATGACAGCCAGTGAATTAGTTTGAATTTTTACTTAACTTCTGTTAACCTGATGGCTTAAAAGTTACTAAGAATTGTATAGTTTTGAGGGCTGTTTGAACAATTGATGGATGACAAACATGGTAAACTGATTTCTGAGCATTTTGTATAGTTTTGTTGCTGGTTTTGTTTGATTTGTTTTCTGACTGTTCTGGTAAATGAGGTAAACTACTGTGTCAATTCTGATTTGGTTATATGATTTTGTTTGGGTTGCTGAGTTGAAATGGTTTTCTGAACTGGTGATGATCTTTGTTGACTCAGTTTGCTGATCTGCTATACTAATCTGCTATTCTTCTGGTGCTGCTGTGTTGTTGCTGCTGTTGCTGAGATGCTGTGGTGATGCTGCTGTGATGGTGATTGTTACGATGAGGTGTTGCGGTGTTGTTGTTGGATGTTTGCTGGTGTTGTTGATGTTTGGAAGGGTGCAGGACTTTTTGTCCAATCTGTAATAGATTAGGTTTTCATTAATGGGGGTTGTCATTAGGTGTAAGTTCGAGCAACTGCTGGTGTTTTGGATGGAAGGGTATGGAGGGGGTATTTTGTGTGATTTCATAGCAATGTTATTAGTTTGTTATAGTGATGCCTGAGGGATGCCTCTTGTAAAACTGTAAATCTTGTAAAACATTATAAATGAGTTTCAATTATTTTTGCCACTGCAAATTTGTCGTTGTTAAAAAGTAAAGCTTTCTCAACAAATAACTTGTCGGTAAATGTGTAGCCAAAAGTTTATTTTTGCCCACTCATATTGGGTTGCTAAAAGTGTATTTTTTGCCAATGCCAGTTTTTCGTAGCCAAAACTAAAGCTTTATCGACAACCAAATCGTTGGCAAATGGCAACATTTACCGACGTAAATGTGTCGCAAAAAGTTACTTTTCCCCACTCATATTGTGTTGGTAGAAGTGTATTTTTTGCCAATGCCAATTTGTCGTTGCCAAAAGTAAAGCTTTAGCGACAAACAAATCGTTGGCAAATGGCAACATTTACCGACATAAATGTGTTGCCAAAAGTTTACTTTTACCGACGCATATGTTGTTGCTAAAAGTATATTTTTTGCCCATGCAAATTTGTGTCGCGAAAAGTGCCACACAGTCATCATATTTGAATGACTTTTACCAACGCAAGGTAAATTGCCAACGATGGATGGAGGCTTTTAGCGACGACTATGTTCGTCGCTAAAGGTATTACTTTTACCAACGCTATGATAATTTCGTCGGCAAAAACTTTTGCCAACATAGCTTTGTGTGTCGGCAAAACTCTTTGCCAACGAATTTTCCCTTTTAGCAACATATTTTGTTGCGTTGCGAAAAATGTAATTTCTTGTAGTGCCTGGCCGGACGGCCATATACAGTGCCGACCGGCCATCACGGTCCAGCCGGTGTCACAACAGTTGGCCGATAATTCATTTCTATGGCCGGTGACCCTTTTCTTTGGCCGGTGGCATCCCAGAATACTCAGGGAATGATTCAAAGCAGTTCTGGAGACTTTCAGAATTTTCAGAGGGGCAGGACAATGTAAACAGAGGGAACAATGCTATGGCAGCGAGTTTTCGGGCAAGACGAGTCAAGCATGCATCATTCACGCATCCCGAGGCGGGGCTGTGGTCACCATCTTTCTGCATTTAATTTGTTAATTAATTAGAAATTCTGTAATAATTAATTTAGTATTATTGATTCGGACTGTAATATTTATTCGGACCCTCCAAGCGAGGGCAGTTGTGTAATAAGTGTGCGTGAGTGTGTGCATGTCTTCCAATCCCTTCTTCCTTTTTATTTACTAGCTTTCAATGGTTAGTCTAAAGCATGTTTCAATTAGCATACAGTATGATAGCACGTTTGCATCCATTCATTCGTTTTGCATGCACCGGGCTCGGCGCATCATTCTAACTACATTTGTACTTCAATTCCAAATTGAATACGTGGTAGTTGTAGCATCTCACATGTCATTGTAGATTAGCCGAGCCTATCTTAGTTGCATTTTGCATGTGTTGCATTAGCCATATTAACATGAACTAGGGTCATACACATGATTACTAACTGGTTTCTGTTTTGGCTTGGAGTACTAAGTAAGCTTTTATGCTTTAGCATGCCACATGTGTGTGAATGTTGCCATGATAGCATAATTACCATGAGGCTAGCTGCTTATGTGATGTAACTGCCTGAATGCTTGTGGATGGAGGTTGAATTACCTAAATTGGAATAATGCACTAAAACTGTGAGTTGTAAGCCCACTAGATAGGGGTAAAACCATCTTTTCCAAAGCCCACTTGAGGGTGGAAAAATCTGCATTTTAGCCTACTCGCGAGTAGCAATCCATTTTCAAAACAAACATGAAATGTTTTGTTCCAATTTAGGCGATTTGGTCTATACTTGTTTGCTGGGCGCATAACATAGTAATTCTAGGCTAATAACCAGAATAGGAACACATAAAGTTTTCGAAATTGGATATCATGGTTAGTAGAGGCCGATTTTCGAATCGGGCGAGAGGGGGTGCTCATAGCTGACCTTCCCCAATCGTACCTGTAGACACCCCATTTTTGACCGACCTTGAGACTCAGACGTCACCAGTTGAGCGCTCAGTGATATTGCATATTGTGCTCGTTCAAAAGTTTCAGAGTCTCGGCTGCGAGCCTTGCCTCCGGACTTCCGGACTCTTTTGTGCTTTGCCTCAGTTTGCGAACCAATATTTAGTTGGTGACTCTGTATCTGGCAAAGCAGTCCATGTTTGGCACTTCTTTTCTAAAAATCTATTTTTCTCAAAACGATTTGCCAGATTTGAACTCTTTGGTTCAGATTAAGAACCGTGACAATTCGAGAGTCCGAACTGTAGTGAGCCCAATATGAAACAGAACGGGGGTTCATCCTCCCGGGGCGTTCGGGGACGTCTACATCATGCATTGAGATGCGCGATTGGTGGCTCGAGAGTCGAGCACTACACTCCTTTGAGCTTTGAACATGATAAGGAGTGTGGTTGCACACACATTTTCTTGTAAATACATGGCCATGCCTCTGTTTGTGCTTTGTTGCAGCAAAAGGAGAAATTTGCCGGAAGTTTTGGCCGATCGACCATCAGATTTGCCGATCGACTACAAAATTTGTCGATGACTACTACACAAGGCCGATGGCCATTCCTCCTGGGTAACCACCCATTAGATTGTCCATAAGGTGTATCAGAAGTACCTTGGAGGTTGGCACAGTTTTCAGAAGTCCAAAACAGTGCAAACAGAGGCAACATGAGGCACGGCAGTGGATTTCCGAGCGAAGCCAACCGAGCATGCATCTCTTCATCGCCTGCGAGGCCATCTCAGTATTCATGATTAGTTTGTGCAATTAGTCATTTGATTTGTTGTGTAATATCTCAATTAGCTTAGTATAGCTATTTGTTTCAATTCGGTTGTGTAATAATTGATTAGCTTAGTCTAGCTTGTTAGTTTATCATTCGGACCCTCCGTCAAGAGGGTGTATTGTTGTAATAAGCGTGCGTGTGTGTGATGCATGTCTTCCGACCCCCCGTTTCTTTCTCCCTTTTAGTTAACCCCTTACGATGGTTAGTTTTAGGGCATATTTTGTTTAGCATCCTTATGCTTAGCATGCGTGCATTCATTCATCTATTTTGCATGCATCGGGCTCGGCGCATCATACAAACTACATTGTATTTCAATACATTTACTTCAATACGTGTTCAATAGCATATTATCAAGTTGCATTTCATATGCCATCTTAGAATAGCCGAGCCTATCATAGCTGCATTTTTGCGTGTGTTGCATTCGCTATCTTAACATGAACTAGGATCATGCATGATTTCTAACTAGTTCTCTGTTTTGGCTCGGAGTACACTGTGAGTGTTTACGCTTTAGCATACTGCATGAGATGTGTATGTTGCCATGTTCGCATGCTTGCCATGCGGCTAATTGCTTAAGTGATTAACTGCTTAAATGCTTGTGGGTGAAGGTTGGATTGCTTGAATTGGAACAATTCATCAAAATCCACAACTTAGCGTACTTGCGAGTAGCGAACTTTCAAAGATGTTTTGTTCCAACTTAGGTGATCTAGTCTATACTTGTATGATGTGCGGATCACATAGTAATTCTAGGTTAACAACCGAAAAAAGAACACATGTGTTTTCAAAAAACAATATATCATGTTAGTAAAGGCCGATCTTTGATCGGGTGAGCAGGGGTGCTCATTGCATGACCTTTCCCTCTCGTACCCAAGTTCCCGAGCTGAGGCAACTTTGGTGATGACCGACACGTGGCCTTAGGCACAAGTCAGGGTTTCCTAAATTTCACAAAACAAAACATTTAGGTGGCGACTCTGTATCTGGCAAAGCAGTCCATGTTTGGCACTTCTTTACAAAAATCAATTTTCCAAAACAATTTGCCGGATTTGGACTCTTTGGTGATTTACCGGTCTCACATTGCATTTTGTGAGATTAGATTCAGAACCGTGACATTGACTCTGAACTGTAGTAGCCTAGAACAAAATGATTTCACGCCGTCACGCGCGGAGAGCGGGAGCTCTTGGGGCGGTCTACAAGGTGTTCCTGCGTCCCCTCCATGCGGTTATGGAAGCTTCTGATGCTAAAGTAGGCCCAGTCTGTGCTTTTTCTTCAAGCCAAGCCAGGCATTCGCCAGAAAGGGCGCAACTGAAATTGGAAGCAGGAGCCGAAGTTCTCTTGTCCTTTACGCTGTGGGATATCGAGCCAATTGTGAACCTCAGATTAGGAACAAGGCAGGTACTCTACCCCTTCTTCTGGGCAAGTCTAGTCATGTCCGAAATGAAAAAGTAGAATGCATAGTGTGTCAAGCCAATCAACTGAATGCTGGGTCACCAAGCCATGTTGTAGCTCATTTCGGGCAGGTCAAACTAGGGGCAATGCCATGCAATGTCAGCAACTGACCTGTTGCACGTCCAATGGCAACCCCATCCCTCGTCCGGGAAATCCACTAGCTGTTGGAGAAAAAAACAGCCTCGTGCTGAATATGGAGGGCAAGAGTTCACTGCCTTCCACCTGTCCATAAGCCATATCTACAGAGGGATGAAAGAAAAGAGAGATTAAAGAACAGAGAGGTGTATGTTGAGATGAAAAAGTGAGAAAAGGGCTTTGAGAGAAAAATAAAGCATGAGTGCTGAGTGATGTGAGAAACATATATCAAAAAGGGTGGGAAACATTACCTGAAGAAGTAGTGGACTCCCTGTGAATTTGTTTGTCTCTTGCCAATGAAAGGTGTCTAAGCCCATCAAAGTGTTAGCTAATACCAAGCTAATGCAACTCTTGCCCTCTTTCAATCCTTGTGCCACTTCAACTAGCCAAATGGTAGACCCCCTGAAACTAGGGCGAAGAAAGAAATGTGCTAACATGCACAAACAAAGGGCGTGTTGTCGAAAACCTCGCCAAAGAAGATCGCCTCGGTCACCTGCGTCAGAAAATCAATGAATCAAACTAGGGATATCCAGCTGTCCGTTGTGAACCAAGGATCGGGCATCGTCTAAAGTGAGCCCACACATCCTTCCCAAAGCTTGGATGTGAC